CTGAGCTTTGTACAGCTGTCTGCCTTCCCACAGCCACAGGCCTTACACAGGTGGATAGGAATTCAACACAGAGGATGTCACTCACAGACACAGGTGTGTGTGGGAATGCCTGAGTTCAGGTGTTCCCTGTAAACTGTCAAAGGGAGTGAAGTTCCCATACATTACACTGTCATTCAGGATTAGACACATACTGTACGTGATGGCTGATATCGGCCTGAACATAACACACATTGCAGACATCATGGCTTCTTTTATTCGTTGCTAGAAAATAGTATAAAAATAACTTAAATCAGTTTTACATTTTATGTTATGACCTAACTCATGTTTAAGTTGGTCATGATAGCATGAACCAGACTGTTCTCATACACTGTTCGTAGGTATACCTAAGAAAAGCAATGCACCAGAATTTGTATATGTCCCAGGTAATCGGGTTAGGCCGTGATCATGTGACCAATGCACTGATGGGAGTAAAGATGCAAGTAGTATAAAGAGCAAAAGTTTGTGAGGGAGGTTGGGGTGGTGTAAGGGTCAAACAAACACAGGACATTTGCCAAGGAGACTGGTAATCATGTCCCCTGTAAAACCAAGTGAACTTGAAGTTATATTAAGGTGTGTCATCAGCATGTTTCATTTCCTAAACCTAACCTACGTAACTTTATGCAATGTTCCTATCTTTAAGTCAGGTGCATGATGCGATGTCACCCAATCAGGTTTCTTTTCCTAATCATAAAACTTTCCTTTCCTAGTCCTAACCTATGTAACTTTACTTTACTAAACCTAATCTACATAACCTTCTTTTCCTAATCCTAACCTAGAACTTTTCTTTCCTAAACCTTGCCTACGTAACTTTCCTGTCCGTGTCCTAACCCACGTAACTTTACTTCTCTAATCATAACTTACGTAACTTTACTTGTCTAAACCTAACCTACGTAACTTATGTGAAGTACGTAACTTTTCATCAGGTGCAGGATGTGGCAATGCCCAATCATGTTTTTTTTCTCCTAATCCAAACCTAAAACTTTTCTTTACTAAACCTTGCCTACATAACTTTCCCGTCAGTGTCCTACCCTATGTAACTTCACTTTCGTAAACCTAACCAACGGAATATTACATTAAGAACGGAACTTTACTTTACTTGCCTAAACCTAACCTACATAAATTTATGTGAAGTACATAACTTTATGTTAGGTGCATGATGTGAAGATACCCAATTGTGTTTCTTTTCCTAATCCTAATTTATATCTTTTCTTTCCTAAACTTGCCTACATAACTTAACTTTCCTAGTCCTAACCTACATAACTTTACGTTGAGAAGCTAACTTTACTTTCCCAGACCTTAACTGCTAACTGTACTTTCCCAAACCTTACCTTCAGAACTTTATGTTAAGTATGTAACTTTACATTGGGTACTTTACGTATTGTGACGATGCCATTCGTAAGACACTAACTCATTACTTATCATACACACCACTGTATGAGAATACATTGCATTATTTCATTTTTGTGTCTTGCAGTTATGTACACAAACGGAAAACAAACATATAAACATAAATGTATTCAATTATCAGGATGGAAATGGTCGATTTTAAATATGAGCATTACTGAAACAAAATGTTGCTACATTTTTCTCACAAAAGCAAAATATAATGACTATATTTGGCCAAAATTGAGTTATGACCTGAACAGGCTATGATTTTTCAACATCTGATTTATGATATCACAACACTGAACATATAATTTCTGTGAAAAGCAGACAGAGTATCTCGGTCCAAAAGCAGAGTGCCCTTAAAAAATAAACTTGCAGACAATCAAATATGAGCGGAGATGTAAAACTGCGTTCACAAACCTAAATCTTTTGACCCTTGCACTTAAAGTAAAGAGAGCACTGCTCTGTATGGCATACATTAAACAAAACAAAGCAAGCCCACATTATTGATCACTTTGACTACAGAGTGGCACGTCTCCGATTGTTTTTCAACATCACAGCAGATCAATATGGAGGAGTGCTTGCGGAGTACAGAAGGGTAAATGATGCCTTCTCTGTTTAGAGACTTGGGGAAATTGACATACTGCCAGGTTGGAGGAGGCCTGGGTCGATAGATATTGTCATCCCCTTCGGATTTATCATCCATATGGATGTGCTGCCATGTAGCACCTCACTTATATTTCAACATATGGGGTGAAAGTGCCAATAAAATGTGATTTATACTGTAACACATATATTGTCAAAAACTATTTTGGGAAAATGGGTTTAGTATCCAGAAGCATCCATTTCAGAATGGTCTGACACTGAAGGCTCTTCATGGGTTTGATCAGCCCAAGATCTCTCACTATGACACAATGAATCTGAAACTCTGCAGTACATCTGGCATAATGTCATATCCTCAACCCTTAGAGTACAAGGAACCAAGTGTGGTTCTGTATGTGTGGTTAAAAGAGCAGTAGAGAGTACAAAACTAAAAATCTGGTAATGTCAAAACAGAGGTTAGCACTCTACCAGCAACACACCTGTAAAGATTCAAGCTGCTCTGTGCTGCAGTCTGTTAATGTTTCTCTGGGTTTTGGAACTGTCAGTCTGTCTCTCTGTATCTTCTGTGATGCATCTTTCCCTTTATGATTGTTATACAGTTTGACTGATGTTTTTTCAGAAACAGTTTTCCTCTTCTTTATCTCCAGTTGGACACGTTTGTTTCAGGGATTATATATCTCTGTTTTGCTTGCTAGTCTGCCCATATTGTATTCACTATAATAAAATTATTTTCTTTTCAATACAGTTAAATATGTGACTTAAGGTAGCTTACACCACATTCCATAAATTCCATTTGAATCAAAAGCTGAGACTGCAGTTATAGTTCTTTGCTAAGCTAGTTAGCTTTAGCCAAAGTTTTACATCAGCTGTTATATCACGATTGGATTGAGCTACTACTTCATTTACATATGTGGGATAGCCTTACTAATCTTAATAAACTGATATCTGTATGCAGACCCTGTAGGTAATGTTACAACATTTTGGTATTGGACGCATTCTTGTTTTTGTTTATAGACAAAGTAGTATCGACGACCAGTCACACTTGAGCAGGGTTTGGTTGTCTGTCTGCAGCAAGAGATCTAATGCATCAGACAAAGTACAACCTTGAAACCCATTGGCTATTGTTTGACAATGGTTTAGTTTTTTTTTTAAGCTTTTTTATAGTTTAGCTGACTGCATATGCAGATACTTATTTGTTAGCCAAAATATTGTCTGGACCTGTCTCAAGTTGCTAATCGAACCATAGGTGTAGATTTCAGGGGGAACGTAGGGGGCGCATCCCCCTCACTTTTAAGAACATATACGTTTGACAAATTTAAAGACATTTACGCTGTTAATTGATGCAGAAAAAGCACAAATTGGTGCAGAAAAATCAAGTGTTTGACGCTCAAGATTTTCTGTCGATATACCTTCTAAATCCCTTGTTCATATGTGTCCACCCCATTGTTGAAACAAACCTACACCCTTGAATCAAACTGTAATCAATGACCAACACATGGAAGATTAAGTCTGGCTAAACTGGATCTCTTGAAATATTGGCCATTGCCCCCCTGAGACTATTTCGTTGTCAGATGATAGCCAATGGGTTCCATGACTGTCATCTAACTAATCGAATTACCAAAATATAATGTCATCACAATGAATATTTTTGGAACCAAATAACAATAGGAAAAACAAAAAATGTTACGTTTTAGCTTTAGCTGAGGCCGACCATGGATATCTCACCAGCTTGCTAACGCTCAATATAGCTGTGTAATTTTAGCTGTCTAGTGCCAGATTTGGCACTAGGCAAGCGTAACGTGTCCAGAACAATGGCAAAGACATTACATTTTTAAATTGATGTAACAGTGCAGACATGCAACATGACATCTTTAAATTTCATTATGCTATATGTAATGCTACTACAGCTTTGAAGCCACTTGAGGGGGATTTTAAGCTAAATATTTGGATCATATATGGTTCAAAAATAAAATTAAAAAAAAAGGAACAGACATATATATCGAAGGGAAGAACCAGCTCAAAACTGTGAGAGTCATCAATGTGCATCTTCAGATTGCAGAAATGAAACAGGGCTATAGGTTTTTTAGTGGAGCTGTACACTTTCAGTAACATAGGCTACAATATCACAAAGAGGAAGAGATCCAGACATTTTATCTGTCTGCGTCATTGCTGAAAATATAATCTGTGTCCTTAGGCTTTCTTGGCAAGATTCAGGAACACATGGGTAGATTTCAAGGACATACTAAAGATTTGGTTCCAAAATCCTTTATATCAGCAAATATCTCATGTGACGGCTAAATTTAGATTTGTTTTACTTAAAGTGTTTGAATGTTTTGGTCTCCATGATTTAACAGCAGCAAAAAATAAAGGAGAAACGGGGGATCTAACTATGGTCTCACACACACACACACACACACACACACACACACACACACACAGAATTAGAGAAAGCTGTTGACACCTGTCTGTCCCTATTGGGCAGGAGTGTAAAGGTTAAATGTGTGTGTCATAGCTGGCTCCATGGGGGTGTGTGGTCAGGAGGGCCAGCAGACAGCAGGTGGCCACTAGCCCCATCCACAGAGGACAGACTGGGCAAGAGACAGACCAGTAATGCAAGACGTCTCACGGTGGATGTGGTGATTTAAAGGGGAAATGAGGGGAAATTGCACCCTCAGTCCGCAATCAGAAACTAATATCCCCTCTTCATCATGTCCCAGATATTTCCCTCCTCTTCCAATACATTAGATACAATTACACTAATGACTATATTTCTCTATAATAATAATAATTTGATTTGAGAGTTTCTCCCCGTCTGACAACCTGGAGAGATTAATTATTTCTCGGTGTTATTTTAGTGTCGCGCGGGCAGAGGATGGAAGGGGTGTGCGTTTGATAAACAGGGCGTGGATTTGGCAGTGAGACGGGAAAGGGGGTGTTGAGGGTTTCCTACAGAGCCGCTGCCAAGGAGCCACGGGAGCGCACAGAAGGCACGGAGCGCTGCGGACGTTAATTCGCAGCCACCTCTCCGCTGAGCCTTACTGGGACTTCGCTCAAGTTTTTTTTTTTTTTTTTTTGAACAAATCTACAAGTTGTTTTGATGCTTTGACGGAAGAGGGAGAGTCAGATCAGCTGAGGAACATGGGGAGCTGTTTGACGCGCGGGGGGCAAGTTTTACGCCACTTGCTGCTGTGGCAGGAGCGCGGTGATTCTTCCCAAAGCGTTCTCAGTTTGAGCAACTTTTAAAGCATGAAGTCCTTTGATGTGGCATGTTTCCTCCGTTGTGTCTTCACGCTCAGGGTTGCGACTCATGGGATGTAGTAAATGGAGAGCTGCGTTCAACTTTGGACACCTGAGGGTGCAGTCCAAGCTGTCCGTCTTCTTTACCATGATCATCCTCTTCATGTACCTCTTCTACTGCCTCAACGGATACTGTGACTCCTTGCCCAGGCCAGTCTATGACCAACAGAGTAATTTTCAAAACAAACTCATTTTAAATGATGGACACGACGCGTCCCTGCAGCAGGAGCAGCAGCTCGGCGCGTATAACGCGTCTCAGGTTGTCCGGGATCAGCTGTCGGACTTATCGAACAGCGATGCTCCGTCTCATAATATCTCTATAGCCAACACTTTCGGTAGCAAAAAGTTTCCTCAGGCCATCATCATCGGGGTGAAGAAAGGTGGCACGCGGGCTCTGCTAGAGTTTCTGCGCATCCATCCGGACGTGAGAGCAGTCGGCTCTGAGCCGCACTTCTTTGACCGCTTCTATGACAAGGGACTGGACTGGTACAGGTAGGCAGTGTTTTTTCTGTTTGCTTTCTTTTATTTTGTCTTCTGAGTTGATGATACAAGTCATTAAATATTTATCTAAAAGCAGGATAAATATGCTGCTGTGCTCAAACTGGAAATTGACCGGAATAGCAATGAACTGTAGGGGTCAAAGTTCAGGGCAGGAGTCACAGACGTCTGAGAAGTTGTAGCTGTTTGCTTTCATCTTCTAATAGAAAATTTTAATATATGTATAATAAAGTAAAGATAGAGACTTTCTTTTTGTCTTCAGGATCTGCATACACCACATATGAAAGCTACAGGAACATTTCCTACATTAAGCTGGTTCATTGAAGGCAACAACAATAAAATATATGATATAAATTCATTTAGAAATTGACTGAATATTCCTGTGATGGGTTATGTATTGCATTAGGCTTAGCAGTGTTAATGTGCTGTAATAAAATCAGGTCACGCAGGGCAAGTAGACTGAGGCCCCAACTACAAGTGGCCAAAAAAGTCCCCTGTTCTTCTCTAGATTGCTCTAGATTAACTAACAATTCACTCTGCAATGCAAAATATGCATGGTACCTCTTTTATCTTCAATTGTTTCACATGAAGTGTATTAACAGATCTTGTCTGACCAGTCTGATGGTGTGGGTGATGTCTGATTAGGCAGACGTAAAAGTTAAATCTCATTTTGTGTTTGTGGAATCTGTCTGGTCTTCAAACTGAAAAGTGTCTTTAGAAATATAAGTAAGTAAATGATGAGGATTTCAAATCGAGAAGTGAGTTTTAAACACTGTTTATTGCTTTATGTGTATCAGGGATTCTTCTTCTGATTTTTATTTGACCACACTGGGACCACAGTGGAAAAAAAAGGTGTGTTCATGTGCTGTCATCAGACAGTTGTCATGTATTTTATAGTTTCCTTTTACAATAAATGACAAGAGACATTAGTGAGCATGTAACAAAAACACAGGTATTTTAAATTCATTTTTTATTCCACTTAAAGCATATTTCCGTGCAGGCAAACACATCATCTGATGCATGGTGTGATCCATCCGTCTCCTCCTCTGTCTTCATTAATATCCCTCAGCACCAATAAGAGCCTGTGCTGATACCTTCCAAGGATGGCAGCGTATTCAGTCCCCTGCCAATAAATTGCTGTTTATTGAGCTGACACGCTGCTTCCCTAAGTGTCCGATGTTGGTCCCCTGAGGGCCTCGCCACCGGCCTGATCACAGAGGGAGGATGGGTTGTTGTGGATGGTGGTAGTGTGGATGACCCCTCAGTCAGGTGTTTGCTTGAGGATCAGCCAAAATGGGTTTCTGAAGGCTGACGGTGATATTTTTCTTGTCACACATCGCCTCTATTTTAATTTTTCCAATGAAAACCAGACACGTATGATTTTTTTTTTCAGCATAGCAGCATACAGAGAGACACAGTTATCTTAGTTTGCATGTAGAAATTGAAAAATAAAATGGGTGAAAAATATATTTTTGCAATTTAAAGAATGAAGAGGAGGAAGCTCTTTATTTGGGGTGGACATGCCTGATATGTGATTGCACAGAGATGGGAGAAAAAGAGAGAGGGAGGGACAGGGGAAAGCCATTACAGAGGAAGAATGAGGAAAAAAGATCTGGGGAGTAAATGACGGTTTGATAAAGAGGCGAGTAGAGCAGAGAGGAGAACGTCGAGGTGTGGCAGAAAAATGTGTGGTGGGAGAAGAAGACAGAGAGACACAGGGAGAGATCAATACGGCCGGGTAATGATCGGTTCACTGCGAGGCTCAGGTGGAACAGCACTCAGTGACATCAGAGATCAAAGTGTGTGTGTGTGTGCACCAAGTGTGGTTCTTATTACTCTGTACAGTTTTCAGGAACATGAGGAGGCTGGGGTTTTCCTGCTGCATGAAAAATGTCCGATGCATGTGTGATGAGACAGATATGAGTGATGTGGGCAGCACTGTGTCGAGGCAGTTTAACTTTGAGTTTAGGAATTACTAAAACTGAATCCTCTGGAACGGTTTCAACACAGACATGTAACTTTTATTCAAGTAGTTGTAACATCTGTAAAACAGCTGTTTGCAATCACTTCGCCTAGATGCAAAAATACAGTATGAACAAGAAGCTTAGTGGTTGTACATTCTGTACGTAACGTCTTCCCACTCTGTTAATGATAGGGGATAGGGCTGAAACCAGCAATTATTTTTTAACCAACAGTTATTAATTAACATTTAATCTGCTGATTACCTTCTCGATTAATATTTTTGTGTGTAAATTGTCAGAAAACAGTGAAAAATGCACATTATTTTTTCCCAGAGTCCAAGATGACTTTTTCAGATTCCTTGTCTTATCTGATCATCAATCTAAAATCCAAATACACTCAGTTTACTGTCATATAAAACCAAAAAAGCAACAAATCCTCATATTTAAGAGTCTATTATCAAAATAGTTGCAGATTAATCTTCTGCGGATCAGATAATCAGTTAATTGACTAATTGTTTCAGCTCTAACTAGTTGGAATTTAGGGAAATGTGTATAAAAAAATGCGCAACAATTCAAATTTTCAACATTTTTGGGAGTTATAAAAAAGTGCTAGAAGGAGAAGTCTCACTCTTTTTTCTTTACAACTGTGTTTTATGTTTTTTTTTATCATTACTGTCTTAAGCTTAGCAGATGTAAGGGGATATTTAAGGGGAATATAAGGGCTCGATGAGACTACAAATGTGTTGTCTTGTGCAGTCATGTCTCTCCTGAAATAATCAGCAGGAAATAACCCTACAAAGCAGCAACTTTAGGATACTATGGACTTCACTGGACTATTAAATAATCACAAAATTCTTTTTTTAACCATTATCTCTGTCCTCTCTAATATTTTCCACCAGGCTTCAGATTTTTTAATCAAGTCCTGATATGATCACACAGTAGATCTAAAGAACTCTGAATTTAGAGATGCTCAAAGTCTTTCACTGTCCTCTCTTCAGTAAATCTCATTTAATGTGTTTTGTTGAGGTCAGCGTGGGTCAAAGTTGAGTTAAGTTGTAATTCTCTCCATCGGAAAAAATGGCCTATCTTTGTTTTTGATTAGAGACCAGCTGCAACTCATCTTTGGTGATTAAAAAAAAATAGCTTTTCATTTTTTAAATTTGATCTCATAAGTGTATGATAACATGCATTTTCATCTGAAGCAACACTCTGTAGGATCTGTAGCTACCTGAAAGGTGGCAAAGCAGCACTAGAAAGGGTTAAAGGTGAGAAGATGAGCGACCTTTACGCGTTTCATTTTACTGCTTTCTGTTGTGGGGAAACTGACCTTACCTTGTAGTTTCTCAACACAGACATGACGTATCCACCTCTCTTTTTTCTCTTCCTCTCCTTTTGTCTTTTGAAGGCATAATGAAACGTGTGTTTTCGTTCCGTCCTAATCCGCCGACAGCTCGTGTCAACACTTTGTGAATTGGACCGGTGTAATGACAAGTCAGGCATTAACGTGGACAGCTCAGGGACATGCAGAGTGGCTGAGAAGGATTAGGCCCCCAGTCACAGTTAAACAAGGCCTTATGAAGCATTAGTCAACACCACCACCCAGCCACCCCCTCGTCTCGCAGCACTGGTCCATGATGAGCGCTTCAGTATTCCTGCGCCTCAACCTTTAGAGCTATAGGTGAAGCTTATTGGACCCAGGGGCTGTGTAGTTCACTGGCTTTCAGACAAGCAGTAACAGTCACTTCACCTTTTTTACATTTATATGAGACAGATGTAAATGTCTGAAGCTTGTACTTCTGCAGTTGTCAGGTGGTCTGTTGAAAGATTGTCGAGTATCTCAACTTATTTAAAAAAACAGAAATGTGATTTTAGGAAATATATCCACGTCTTGACTCTGTAACACAGAAAATGCCCTCCTAAGAAAGTGCAATTCAACAAGTGCCTGAAAACAACATTACATTCAAGTGATAAAGCTTTTTAGCAGAGGTGGGTAATACGACCCCAGTCTGAGTCTGACAGGATGAAGTCCGCAGAGGGATGCAGTCAGGTTGGATGGATGGCTCCACAAAATGTCGGACGTCACCATGGGAGACCTCTGTTCATTTCTGTTTCCTGCTGACGGTCAACTCTGGTTGCTTTTAATCATGACCGGGACCGTTCCCTAACCCTAACTATGTGGTTATTACTGTGACCATGATGATGAAAGTCCAATGACCTTAACGAAGTAGTCATTCTTTCCCAACAGTAAGTGTTTTGAAAGGCACAGACGAATGATGGCGTCAGGTCAGAACAGCTTCCACTGAATATATCATTCTACAGGGCTGTTACATACAACATAGTTTTTGGAGTGCACAAAAAGTAGTTAGCAAGCAAGCCAACACATTCTCACTCCGACCTTGTCACATATCGCCACTTGGTTGTGGACTTTCTAAGTCAACATATGATGTGCAAAGTAGCCTGGATGTGTCTGCTGTAAACGTTCTGGAACACCGTGTCAACTGCAGCCTGTTACATACATTGTGTCTTTTCAAAATACACTTATATATTCACAGGAAATGCACAGTTTGCATGTAGTCTCTTTCAAAATAAATGTACACCACAATTTTACTTTTTTTCCTTCAACAACAAACACGTGGTTACGTTTAGCCAACACATACATGTGGTTAGGATTATGAAAAAAACAACAACCGGGTTTGGCTTTACATTAATACAGGAAATAAACACTGACCTCTGGGGTGAAAGTCAGTGATTCTTGGAACCATCCACCACCCCTACCTCCTACCCATCCTACTCAGACTTTTTGCCCCTTAACTTACGATGTTGTCTGGGCATGTTTCCCCCTGACGTCGTCAGATGCCATTAGACACTGACAGTGCCCTGCCACGTCTCATTCTGACATGAAAGGGCAGCTTTTTTCGTTGGTGTCTGACACAGAAGTCGCTGCCTAAGTGCATGACTTTGTAATGAGACCAGGTTGAGCAAGCAGGTAGGTCTCAGCAGCTGGCTAAAAGCAATGAATAAATTAAATAGTTA